GAGGAACTAATATTATTACACTGTTGGCCGTTGTAAAGGATCCAGTATCCAGGACTCCGGCGTTAATTTTTGAACACGTCAATAACACCGATTTCAAGCAACTTTATCAAACATTAACTGATTATGAGATTCGCTACTATTTGTTTGAGCTTCTTAAGGCACTTGACTACTGCCACAGCATGGGAATAATGCATCGCGATGTGAAGCCTCATAATGTTATGATCGATCACGAAAACCGGAAACTGCGCCTTATTGATTGGGGACTTGCTGAATTTTATCATCCCGGCCAAGAGTATAATGTGCGGGTGGCGTCAAGATACTTTAAAGGACCCGAATTACTGGTAGATTACCAGATGTATGATTATTCACTTGATATGTGGTCACTGGGTTGCATGTTGGCATCGATGATATTTCGAAAAGAGCCGTTCTTTCACGGTCATGATAACTATGATCAATTGGTACGCATTGCTAAGGTGCTGGGCACCGAAGAGCTCTATGCATATTTAGATAAATACAATATTGACTTAGATCCAAGATTTCACGACATTCTACAACGTCACTCACGAAAACGATGGGAAAGGTTTGTTCATTCTGACAACCAACACCTCGTTTCTCCAGAAGCACTAGATTTTCTAGATAAACTATTGCGCTATGATCACGTGGATCGACTCACAGCTCGCGAAGCTATGGCTCATCCGTATTTTTTACCTATCGTCAATGGACAAATGAATCCCAATAATCAGCAATAAGTTCTTTCACTATGATGAATACTGTGTTTCGAAATCGGGATAGCAGCCATTTAACATTTATGATAACAATTACAAAAAATATAAACTCCGAAGAGAAATAAAATAAATTAAGCTACTGTCTTAAAAAGCTCGATTTAATGATCTGTCTTATAGGGAAATAAACCAAAATACACCAAGTCCTTATAGTAAAATTCATGTTTTGCAGAATATTCTATTTATTATTATTATATAAATTTCAACCAAATATCTTATTCTAATTCTAATCAAATTTTTTTGTATGTTTTTTTATACGTTATACTGTGATTCAATATTTTCCACTTTGTTGAAGATTTCATTTAAATTGGATGAATATATTACATCAATATAAAATTGATATATTATAACATTATTGGTCAATCCCGATGGCCCTTTATAGCTTTGATGGCTAAGGCATTTTAATTGATTAAATAGAGTTGAATTATTTTTACGAGGCCAAACGAAATTTTTTCGAGTTTGGTGAATACAAAAAAAAGTACATTTTGAGACGTATTATATACTCACTTGATTATTCACAAAAAAGCAGTAAAAATAAACTGTTAGCAAATAATTCTAAAAGCGTGAACATTATTTTTGAATTCGTACGCGTTTATTGCAGGCACCGAAAGTAAACTTTTTTTTGTCAAACTGTGTGCAGAGGCTATAAGGTTAATTTTATGTAAAAAATAATTTGCCAAAAAAAAAAATCAAAAATATTTTTTGACAAAAAAAAATCTTAGCCTCTGCACACTGCCGCTTAAAATCGTTGCCATTTTAAGCGGATTCTTGGTCGCATAGAGAATCGCTCAAGCAAACAGCTGATCGGCATAATCAAATCGCATCCAAAGGGAGAAAAGCTTTTCCGTAAAAAAACGGAAAGCAACGCAAAACTAAATACAATACAAGAATGATTTCTTGATTGCTATTAGCAAACTGATCAAGGATGGGCTTTCCAATCAGCCAATCGTTGTAAAAATTGATTAGAGCCAGCAAGGACGCCACGAGAATTTTCGAAAGTCAGAACCTTTGGGAACCAATTAACAATTTGTAACTTCTTCCTCGCGTAAGACTCTTTGACTATGTCGTTGTATTTGAGAAACAATTTTGGGCAATTTTAAGGGTGAATGCGCCATCAAGGGGCTAATATTCGTTTTGGTGCAACAGGTACCGGCATTTTTATACTTTTTGAAGTTGTTCTTAGAGCAACAATGATCCTGATTTGTGTATGTATTGATTGAACTTATATTAAGGGGGTATTCTAGTCTAGAAATTTGAAAAAATCGAATTTTTTTTTTTTCATAATTCGGTAGTTTAGATATTTAAAAATATCTCCCTAAACGGATTATTCAAAATTCAAATTATTTTTAAAATTATGGCTGATTAAGAGAATGTAAGTTATACGTGCTATTCTATCAGTTAAACTGCCTGAAATTTAACGTAAAACTTTAAACGCGTTTTTCTCCAAACTACTTTTTCTGATACGGTAGCCATAATATTTCAAGTTCTAATCAGCCGATTTACTTAAAATTTGGCATGAATATTCTTTCAATATCTCTCTATCGCATGAACCAACAAAAAATTGGAATTTAAAATTTGTAATATTTTTAAAAAATTAGATAAAATTACAAAATTAGTAAAAAAAATCGACCTTTTTTTTGAGTGGCCGCCATTTTATGAAAAAAATTTTTTTTTTTAGTTTGGCTGGTTCATGACAGCGACTTTCGTACTGACTAAGAATCTTTTTTTTTTTTATTTTTCAAATGACCACAAGGGTAGAAATCATGGCGACGAGGACACGGCCTTTTTTTTCCCCCTCTACTTCAAGGACGCATAACTCGATGAAAAAAAAATATTTTTTTTTTAAGTTTTATTTTTTGTACTCTTCTAAGTTAAATAAACAAATTATAAAAAACCCGACAGTAAAAATATCAATTGTTTAGTTTTAATTAATTGTTAAAAAAGGCTCGAAACTAGAGCCTCTAGACTAGAATACCCCCTTAAGCAATTCTTAGCATATTAAAAAAAAACAATTTTTGTGCAAAGTAACTGATTTCTTTTTAAATAGTCCGCTTTTAATATTATTATTTTTGTTAACTTTTAACTAAATATTTAAATTCTGTGCCTCTTCCGAAAAAATCATCTTTTATTTAGCAAAGAACGGAACAATTTTAGTTCAAAGTAACTGATTTTTTTTAAATAGTCTGCTTTTATTATTTTTATACCCGTTACTCGTAGAGTAAAAGGGTATACTAGATTCGTCGGAAAGTATGTAACAGGCAGAAGGAAGCGTTTCCGACCCCATAAAGTATATATATTCTTGATCCGGATCACTAGCCGAGTCGATCTAGCCATGTCCGTCTGTCCGTCCGGATGTACGCTGAGATCTCGGAAACTATGGGAGATAGGCTATTGAGAGTTGCAAGTTTGTTTCAGCAGAGTGCCACGCCCACTCTAACGCCACAAACCGCCCAAAACTGTGGCTCCTACAGTTTTGATGCTAGAACGAAAATTTTAATTGAAATGTATTGTTCTCATCAATACCTACCGATTGACCCAAAACAAAGTTTGCCACGCCCACAAACCGCCCAAACCTGTGACGCCCACAATTTTAATGTTAGATAAAAAATTGTAACTGAAATGTATTGGTCTCGTCCATACCTATCGATTGATCCAAAAAAAAATTTGCCACGCCCACTCTAACGCCCATAACGCTTAAATCTGTCTACCGCCGGTAGGTGGCGTATTTTAATCTCGCCTTGCTGCTTGCATATCTCCATTCCCCTTTGGTCCCTTTAGCTGAGTAACGGGTATCTGATAGTCGAGGTACTCGACTATAGCGTTCTTCCTTGTTTTTTTTTAACTTGTAACTTAATATTTAAATTTTGTGCCTCTTCCGAAAAATTATATTTTATTTAGCAAAGAACGAAAACGTTTTTTTCATTTATTAAGTCTAGTTCCAATTGCTTTATGAAAGTGAAGTCGGAGGTATTTTCTTATAATTGTGATGTATTTCTGCTTTAGAGCTATTGTGATGTCTTAGTAATCAAACCAAAACCCCTCTTAACGAGGTAAAAAATAGAAAAAATAAACATACAGAAGTTCTTTTATCATAATTTGTGACGAAAAATAATTTTACATCAGAAAAAAACACTTTATAAAATGTACTCACTTGTCCCGCTTCAACAAAATATTTAAGATTTTACACACACGAACATTTTTTAATGTAGCGTGCCGAAAAAGTTTTTTTTAATTTTTAATTAATTTTTAAACGTACAATAACGTGTTATATGCTAAAATGTAAAGAGTCTCATGGGCTATACAATAAAATAAGATACAAGTTTTCAAGGAAATCGATTGAGCCGTTTTTGGAAAATTAAAACTTCAAAATACCTTTACAACGAGGTATAGCCCAAGTCTGTAGCTTCAGTAGTACAGAAGTTAGTGCCTTCCAAAATTTCGCTTTTTATAGCTGTTTTCCCGCTAAACTAGCGGTTTTTTTTTTTTAAAGTCGTAGAACTAATGTTTCTTATATCGAAACCATCTAAAATTTCGAAGATCCTAAAACATCATTTTGAAACAAACTGACAGTTATTTTTATACCCGTTACTCGTAGTGTAAAAGGGTATACTAGATTCGTCGGAAAGTATGTAACAGGCAGAAGGAAGCGTTTCCGACCCCATAAAGTATATATATTCTTGATCAGGATCACTAGCCGAGTCGATCTAGCCATGTCCGTCTGTCCGTCTGTCTGTCCGGATGAACGCTGAGATCTCGGAAACTATGGGAGCTAGGCTATTGAGATTTGGCGTGCAGATTCCTGAGCTTCTTACGCAGCGCAAGTTTGTTTCAGTAGAGTGCCACGCCCACAAACCGCCCAAAACTGTGGCTCCTACAGTTTTGATGCTAGAATAAAAATTTTAACTGAAATGTAGTGTTCTCATCAATACCTATCGATTGACCCACGCCCACCCTAACGCCCATAAACCGCCCACAAACTTCAAAAAATCGCAAATATGAACGTGGATGTCTCGGAAACTATCAAAGAGAGAATTTGAATTTCAGATTTAGATTCCGTAGCCTTATACGCAGCGCAAGTTTGTTACGCGAATATGCCACGCCCGCTTTTACGCCCACAAACCGCGAAAACCTGTGACGCCCACAATTTTTATTCTAGATAAACTGATTTAACTGAAATGTATTGGTCTCGTCAATACCTATCGATTGCCACGCCCACTCTAACGCCCATAACGCTTAAATCTGTATACCGCCGGTAGGAGGCGCATTTTAATCTCGCTTTGCTTTTTGCATAACTCTATTTAGCAGAGTAACGGGTATCTGATAGTCGAGGTACTCGACTATAGCGTTCTTCCTTGTTTTATTTTCAAAAGTCCCCCAAAATCTTGTTTTGCATGTTACTTTTGAACGGAGCATCTGATTTTAAGTCATTCCTCATTTGACGCGTATTTTTAGTGAGAACACAACTAGGTGAACAGCTGGGGGTAATTATCCCCACCGGCCCCAACAGATAAAATTTGTACTTTTTCTCTTTCTCTCAAACCAATTGATTTTCTTAAAGTCTTGGTATGCAATCCTTTTAGTTGTTGCAATACCTTTCGATTGATGTATCACTCGTAACAAGTGGACGATTACTGTAGATTTTAATTTCTTCGTGTATATATACATAGTAGTCGCCTTCGCACACCCTCCTGGTGCGCTTCGTCCCTACGCAAACTGCCGTCCACAGTGATGTTAAAAAATAGTGTTATTAGCTTGTTCCTAAGGTCTTGCGTTATATGTGTGTGTCTAAAGCAGAAAAAAGATTAAATTAATTATATTTTGATCGATGTTTCATGCAATCAGGACATTTAATTATAAAATTTTAGAGAATGCCCTCTAAAAACGCTTAGACATTTTGTGAAGCCTTATCCGTGGTATAATATGCCACCAACTCTGCACAAGTTTTATTTTTTTACTGAGGAAGCAAGAAATAAAGACATTACAAAAACAAAACAGTGAGTAAGAGCGGTTCGATATATAATTTCCTATAAAGCTCACCGCGATATCGAATAACGAGGCCACATCAACCATTTTAAAAACTAGGGAAATTATCGTTTTTCGCCTGGGTGGCATCATTGGCAAAGTCTCAAAAGAGGGCGGCAGAGAAAATGGTGTCTCTATTTAGATTCTTACTCTACTCTACTCTATGGACATAATGCGGTAAGATTAGTTAACAGATTGTGGTAGGCTAGCGACATGCGCGGACAGCTTGAAGACGTTGACGGCGTCGGGCGCAGGCAGCGCAGGGATAGACGCGGACAACGTTGGGACGAGGACAGCGTGCAGATTTGATGGAGTTCCTGAGAAGAATACAGCAATGCAACAGACCCCCAAGCGAAATTACCGGTTGAACAAGGAGCAGGTAACTCTCGTGTTAACGAGTGCGGCTCCTACACCCGCGAGTAGTGGCGTGGGAAATAAGCAGGTGAAGAAGAAAGTGAAAGCTATTACGGCGCCCCTGATTCACAGCCAGACGACTGCGACCACGGTAACAGCTTCCCAGCCTGGAATTGTTGTCACCACGGTTGGAGCTATAGAACCAGGACAGGTCCAGCCACTCCCAATGTTGGATCTCTTATAGAGAATCGCAACGCTGGAGAGGGAAATGGAGCGTCAGGGCCGCCGGATTGGTCCGCAATTGTTCACGAGTGGTAACGGGATCCCATAAAACGGGGTCAGCACGAACAGTGCGGCATTAGAGGCGCCGCCATCTTGGAGCGGGCCAGCACTGTTAGCGAGTAACAGTCATCATCCACCATTTTGTGCAACAAGTACCACGCAGACAGAGCATGGGTTTGCACCGCCGGGTGTGAGCATCCAGAACGACTTCAGTAGCTGGATCCTACGCTGGGATGACACCAAACAAAAATAATGGAATTTATATGTCACGCAAGTTACCCGATCTGCCAGTATTTGGTGGTCACGCAGAGCACTGGCCGATCTTTTATTGTGCGTTTACTGAGACAAGGCAAAAGTACAACTGTATGGATCTGGATAACAACCAAGGCTTTAAGTATGACTTTTATTTGCAGCCAGTTGAGTGGTATTCAAGTGGTATTCGCTTTTCGGAGAACAACTTGGCGAAGATTGTACCGTTCGCAACACGTGTGAGTATCCTCACAGCCATCTTGCAGTCAGATCAGCATTTGGAGAATCCAACGCATATAAAAGATCTTGTGGCCAAGCTCCCTATAAGTAAACGAGTAAAGTCGGCTAGGCATTCTGCGATGATTAAACCTTTCCCGACCATTGTGGATTTTAGTGCTTGGTTGACGGAGTATGCCAATTTAGTGTGTACCACTGTGGACGTCGAAGGGAAAGATCCGAGGCGTCGGTTGCTTCATGAGAGCATCGGCCATGACCACGGAGACCAACAGGGTCGCCTTAGAATTGTTCAATTTCTGGAGGGCAACGTGAAGTCAGGGACTGTAAAGAATTCAACGGAGCTCGGCCAAAAGACAGGGTCAGGTATGTGAAAAGGCATCGATTATTAATTTTTTGCCTTTAAAGTGGTCACATGACTAGATACTGCAAATCGCATGGTGGGTGTCAGTTTAATGGATGCCGTCAAAGGGATCACACCCTGCTACAAGAGGCGGACAGCCAACGCAGAAGATCGCCACAACAAGGAAAAGATAGAAGATTGACAGAGGGAAACCAGCAGTCAGCAGTTTCCAGGCGCAGCCACTGTAGTCATATCGAATGCACACTGTACTTAGTGTTATGCATTACAAACCCATTGTAGCACTTGGCCACAACATGTATACACAAATACAAGTTCCAAACAGTTTTTTAAGTGCCCGGTAATATAATCGCCGTTGAGTGCACTGGGACTGGGAATGCGCGACCGCTCTGTCACCATGTGAACATAACATACATAAGCGTTGAACGCTGCTCTGCCGGCGTCCCTGGCGGCGCAGCTACACTCTCACTAGCTGTACGGGTAATTGCAATAGAGTTTAGAATTATTCAATAAAGAGTACTCAAGCATAAAGGTTGGCCTGGTTGAATTAATTGGAGAACATTTACACGGCGACCCTGACTTGGTAGATCGAAATGCATCCACGGACATAGGACCAGGAAACTTCTGTCGTCTACAGCTCAACTCGCGATTATAATTTGAACAAATAAAGTACAGAAGCTGACCTGATGGTCAACATCAAACTGTGTGACTTTTTGATGAAGAACAAATTATACAAATCCACGAAGAGCATCTGGTGGAATGTAGAAATGTAGGCACTGCAAGAATGGTCCAAATCGGCAGCAAATGCATGCAAATTGACGGAAATCAACAGGCGGATGCAATAGACCTTCTTTGCGAGGACACATCCGGAAATAAGTCCACATACGAATTGAATTCCCACTCGGCATGCTCCTTCTCCAGAGGATCTCCTTGTGGTACCTTAGGCTGTAAGCCTAATATATAAAATATATATATTATATATGATTACAAATATTTAATAATATATATTTATATTTAATAATATATGTATATATATATATATTTATTATATATGATTACGAATATTTAATAATGCAAAATTAAAACTAACAATCTTTGTCCATGACCAGCGCTATCTCCTTCTAGGTTCTCATCTTAATAACAGCATCGAAATGCTGCTTGTGAGTCAAGTCCCACAATACTGGGCGCCCCTCTACTAGACGAGTCGATCAAGCCATGTCCGTCGCTGGGATCTCGGAAACTAGAAGAGCTAGGGTATTACGATTTGGCATGCAGATTCCTGAGCCTTTTACGCAGCGCAAGTTTGTCTCAGCAGGGTGCCACGCCCACTCTAACGCCCACAAACCGCCCAAAACGGTGGCTCCCTCTGTTCTGATGCTAGAATGAAAATTTTAACTGAAATGTATTGCTCTCATCAATACCTATCGATTAACTTAAAAAAAGTTTGCCACGCCCACTTCAACGCCCATAAACCACCCACAAACTTCAACAAATCGTAAGTATGGACGCCGATATTTCGAAAACTATCAAAGATAGAGAATTGGGATTTTATAGCCACGGACGCAGCGCAAGTTTGTTACGCGAATATGCCACGACCACTCTGTGGCACCCACAACTTTCACGCTAGATACAAAATTTTAACTGAAATGTATTAGTCTCGTCAATACCTATGGATTGACCCAAAAAAAAGTTTGTCACGCCCACTCTAACGCCCATAACGCTTAAATCAGTCAATCAGTGAGATCGCGGGTAGGTGGCGCATTTCAATATCGCTCTGCTGCTTGCATATCTCCATTTCCATTTGGTCCCTTTAGCTGAGTAACGGGTATCTGATAGTAGAGGTACTCGACTATAGCTTTCTTCCTTGTTTTCTGTTTACTTTTGTTCGCCGTTTTTCTTTCTAGACTGTTCTTTTCTAGACTGTTATGTTTGGTTTTAGTTCTCAGTACCCATCTACATGCCAAAAATGGTTCAAGCCCGACTGTTCCTTACAAAATATTAGAAAATGTGGGCGCTAGACGAGTTTTAGCGTTATGGGCTTTAGAGTGGGTGTGACACCCTGCTGAAAAAAAATGCGCTGAGTAGGATGCCCAAGAATCTGAAAGCTTAATCCCAACATTCTAACATTTCCGCGATGTCAGCTTTCCCACGGAAACCCGGATATAGAAAGATCGAATCGACTAGTTATCCTGATCAAGAAAACATATACCTTACCAGGTCGGAAACGCTTCCTTCTACCTGTCGAATACTTTTTCGACGAATCTAGTATAGCCTTTTACTCTACGAGTTACGGATATAATAAACGAATGGTAACATTTTTCACATATTTTATTATTGAATAGCCCCAAAATTATTTGTAGAAAACGACCATCTCATTTATATTACGAAAATTTCGATTTGTCTACATTATTTTTCGTATGATGTCAGTGGCTACCATAAAAACAGTGACGTGTTGGAATTTGATTTGTGTCCAGCGAATCTTTTGTGTACACCAACCATACATTTATTTATTCCGATTAAATACAATTAATTGATTAAGTTTTCCTTTTCTTTTAGACTTGTACAATATTAATATTGCTGTTAGGTCAGGTACCAGTAGACTAAAAACAGAATCGACTCACTTACTTATACATAGTGTTATTAGCTTGTTCCTAAGGTCTTGCGTTATATGTGTGTGTCTAAAGCAGAAAAAAGATTAAATTAATTATATTTTGATCGATGTTTCATGCAATCAGGACATTTAATTATAAAATTTTAGAGAATGCCCTCTAAAAACGCTTAGACATTTTGTGAAGCCTTATCCGTGGTATAATATGCCACCAACTCTGCACAAGTTTTATTTTTTTACTGAGGAAGCAAGAAATAAAGACATTACAAAAACAAAACAGTGAGTAAGAGCGGTTCGATATATAATTTCCTATAAAGCTCACCGCGATATCGAATAACGAGGCCACATCAACCATTTTAAAAACTAGGGAAATTATCGTTTTTCGCCTGGGTGGCATCATTGGCAAAGTCTCAAAAGAGGGCGGCAGAGAAAATGGTGTCTCTATTTAGATTCTTACTCTACTCTACTCTATGGACATAATGCGGTAAGATTAGTTAACAGATTGTGGTAGGCTAGCGACATGCGCGGACAGCTTGAAGACGTTGACGGCGTCGGGCGCAGGCAGCGCAGGGATAGACGCGGACAACGTTGGGACGAGGACAGCGTGCAGATTTGATGGAGTTCCTGAGAAGAATACAGCAATGCAACAGTCCCCCAAGCGAAATTACCGGTTGAACAAGGAGCAGGTAACTCTCGTGTTAATGAGTGCGGCTCCTACACCCGCGAGTAGTGGCGTGGGAAATAAGCAGGTGAAGAAGAAAGTGGGAGCTATTACGGCGCCCCTGATTCACAGCCAGACGACTGCGTCCACGGTAACAGCTTCCCAGCCTGGAATTGTTGTCACCACGGTTGGAGCTATAGAACCAGGACAGGTCCAGCCACTCCCAATGTTGGATCTCTTATAGAGAATCGCAACGCTGGAGAGGGAAATGGAAGGCGTGAGAGCCCGGAACAACATGAACATGCACAAAGATTGCGTAACACTTGGCGAAGTCGGCGTGGTTAATGCAGCGTCAGGGCCGCCGGATTGGTCCGCAATTGTTCACGAGTGGTAACGGGATCCCATAAAACGGGGTCAGCACGAACAGTGCGGCATTAGAGGCGCCGCCATCTTGGAGCGGGCCAGCACTGTTAGCGAGTAACAGTCATCATCCACCATTTTGTGCAACAAGTACCACGCAGACAGAGCATGGGCTTGCACCGCCGGGTGTGAGCATCCAGAACATCATGACTCCGACGACAGAAGATGGATCCTACGCTTGGATGACCCCAAACGAAAATAATGGAATCTATATGCCACGCAAGCTACGCGATCTGCCAGTATTTGATGGTCAGCCAGAGGACTGGCCGATCTTTTATTGTGCGTTTACTGAGACAACGCAAACGTACAACTGTACGGATCTGGATAACAACCAAGGCTTGCTGAAGGCGCTAAATGATGAGGCACGTGAGGCCGTCAAGTCTCTTCTGACCCATCCAAGGAACTTGGACGCTGTGGTGGAGCAGATGCGCTTTAGGTATGACACTTGCTTGCAACCAGTTGAGTGGTATTCAAGTGGTATTCGCTTTTCGGAGAACAACTTGGCGAAGATTGTACCGTTCGCAACACGTGTGAGTATCCTCACAGCCATCTTGCCGTCAGCGAAGGCAGATCAGCGTTTGGGGAATTTAACGCATATAAAAGACCTTGTGGCCAAGTTTCCTATAAACAAACGAGTAAAGTGGGCCAGGCATGCTGCGATGGATTTTAGTGCTTGGTTAACGGAGTATGCCAATTTAGTGTGTACTACTGTGGACGTCGAAGGGAAGGATCCGAGGCGTCGGTTGCTTCATGCAAGCATTGACCAAGACCATGGAGACCAACAGGGTCGCCTTAGAAGTTGTCCAATTTCTGGAGGGCAACATGCAGTCGGGAACTGTAGAGAATTCAACGGAGCTTCGCCAACGGACGGTGCGGGTATGCGAAAAGGCATCGATTATTAATTCTTTGCCTTCAAAGTGGTCACATGACTAGATCCTGCAAATCGTACAGCCGGCTACAAGGGGCGGACAGCCAACGCAGAAGATCGCCACAACAAGGCACAGAAAAAAGATTCAATGAGAGAAACCAGCAGTCAGCAGTTTCCACGCGCAGCCACTGTAGTCATAACGAATGCACACTGTACTTAGTGTTATGCATTACAGAAAAAGGAGTAATAAAATATGGGAGCAAAGAGGAAAAATTGATTTATGATAATGACAGCTCTTTTAACCAACTTTCCTTACACGAAGAAAAAAAAAATTCTTCCATTAAAGGAATTTATTATACGAAAATACTTTGATGAAAAGGCCAAAATCAGAACTGAGTCTGAAGAGGCAAATCAAAGCCAAACAAGTTTGGGATTAAAATATCCTGAACACGCCGTCGTTGAAGTATCCGACAAAAATTATAGTTTGGGATTCAAAAATCCAGAGCGCGCCGTCGTTGAAGTATCCGACAAAAATTCTAGTTTGGGATTAAAAAGTCCTGAACACGCCGTCGTTGATTTATCCGACAACAATGAAATAAACAATATGAGTGAATCAATTCCAAACCAAAGAATGAATTTGGAAAATGAGATAATAAATATTATCAATAAAGAGCACTCGAAGATAAACATGCAAATTCCTATCAGGACTGATATTCGCGGTGAGATAAACACTGAAAACGATAGAGCTATTTATAGCAAGCAGTATCCCTATGCTCTATCGGCTTCAGATTTCGTAAACTCTGAAGTTAATCGAATGTTAAAAGAAGGAATTATAAGACCAAGCAAGAGTCCTTATAATTCTCCAGTTTTAGTGGTACCAAAAAGAGGATTTAATGAAGGTGGTACTGCAAAACTAAGATTAGTTATAGACTATAAGAAACTAAATGAAAACACCATTCCCGAAAGATATCCAATGCAAGATCCTTCAGTGATTTTGTCAAATCTTGGAAAGGCTAAATACTTTTCCACGATCGACTTGGAGTCTGGGTTTCACCAGATTCTAATGAAAGAAACAGACATTAAAAAATCCTCATATTCTATAACTAACGGAAAATATGAATTCTTGAGAATGCCATTTGGGCTAACAAACGCTCCCAGAATATTCCAACGTGCAATGGATGATATTTTGAGAGAACAAGCAGGTAAAACATGTCACGTATATATGGATGACATTATTATATTTTCTAAAATAATAGAACAACATTTCGAGGACTTAATCGTCATAATTAATATATTGCTGAACGCAAATATGAAAATTTCAATTGAAAAATCAAAGTTGTTCAAATTAGAAACCACATTTCTTGGCTACGTTGTTTCCCACAATGTAATCAAAACAGACAAAAACAAGGAAGAACGCTA